ATCCTGCATAACCATGTACATTAAAGTATTCAGAAACATGCACAAAACAAATGCAAGTTATTATTAAACAACTTTACTTTTCCCAGTTAAAATTTAACGTCAGAGGAGCAACTTGGAGGAAGCATTATTCTTTGTGGATCTGGGAAGGAATCCTTGAGCAGGTATCATATGATGCAACTTCATAAATAAGCATCTGAGTAACATTTGTTTGTAATAGTATAACTAGGTTTGTATTTCAGAAGGTCAGTCAGGTCATCCTGGCCCCTCTGACCATAGACACTTTTTTTCTGGTTTTAAAGTCAAGGAAGCAACTAGGTGGTGGTTGGGTTTTTAAGCCTTGAGCCAATTTGAGAAGGATCCTGCTTTGCCTGATGTTATCTGCTTTAACCCAGTAGATTTATAAACACTGATTTCCATTGTTTTTAAGGCCATTTTTTGTTCAGAGCAACTGACATTAAGTAAAACTAGCCAGTAAAGGAGTTAATTTTTTCAAGGAGGGTTTGAAACAATAAATTTCTAGATCAAATATGGTACTTTTCACATTTCCTTTATAACGATTCTAAACGTCTCCTCACACAGACATTGGCTAGAATAATTACTTCTTTCAAGTCCTGCTAAATTCCACTTAGGGCCTAACCCACACCTGATCTTTTCCTTGGGCTACCTCTGCCTGCTACACTAGCTCTCTGTGTCTTTTCTCTACGTTTCCGTGACCTGCTTCTGATCCTTACAAGGAATGTCTACACTCACCTTTTCTAGAACTTGATTCTTCAAATCTCTTTACCATTCACTTTGTATGTAACAGAGGGAAAATAAGATAATAATAAAGTAAGGCTGGGCATAGTGGCTTATGTCTGCAATCCCAACACATTGGGAGGCCAAGTCGAGAAGATTGCTTAAGCCAGGAGTTCAAGACCAGCCTGGGTAACATAGGAAGACCCCATCTCTACCAGAAAAATTAAAAATTAGCCAGGCGTGGAGGCGTGCACCTATATTCCTAGCTAATTGGGAAGCTTTTGAACCCAGGAGTTTGAGGCTACAGGGAGCTATGATTGTGCCATTGCAGTCCAGCCTAGGTAACAGAACAAGACATATTTCCTTAAAAAATTATAATAATAAAATAAAACTGTATTCACTTCAAAGAGAAGAAAACAAATGGGCCACTTTTGCTCTTTAAAGAGTAAAAACATTTCTTACACAGGTCAGCAGTGTCCCACTGAAGGCCCTGTGTAGTTTTCAGGAAAAATACTTAAAATGCCTAAAATTTGAGCGATTTTTGGTCTAGCTTTAAGCTGATTTTATGATAGTCATAGCTTCTGTGTAGATCATCCAGTTATTTCATACATTTTGTGATATGCCTGAGAATGTACCTGAAAAAGACTGTGTTCATGCAACTCTGGAGTGGTTAAGTGGAGGCTCGAGGACTGGGCTAAGGTGTCCTGGCCTAAAGCAGCAGGGGCAGCTGTGGCGGAGCTGATGGCTCACCCCTGCTGACTGCTGACAGGACAGTCTCAATGCCCCTCACCCCCTAGGTCCAGGCCTCCCAACTCTTGATGGGCACATTCCTGACAAGTGAGAAACAAGGGCCAGCTGGCCAGACTCCACATCTGTGTCTAGAGTGCACTCTTTACTCAATGTGCGACCTAGAGCAGATCACTAAATGCCACAGTGAATAAACTCCACTTGTGAAAAAACGTACACTCTCTGCCTTTACAGGCTTAGCACACATGAAAGGAACAGGCTGTGTGAAAGTGCAGGCACCATAGCGGATGCTCATCAGTATCCCATCTCCTCCCATCCCTTCCCTCTGAGCAGACTGCTTCCCAAAAGACCCCGGAAGAGAGATGTCCTGACAGCTCCTGCCACCAAACTGACTGAAGCTGGGCAGAAGGCAGTGGAATTCATTGTGTGGTTGATGTGGACTCACCAGAGCATCCCTTCACTTTTAGGCAAACGAGAGCGCTTCATCTCGGATTTTAGTTGTTTCATTTATTGATTGTTTAAATGAGACTCCATACTGCTATACTTTGGCTAGCTCTGATGTTAAAGGAAATTTGCTGAAAAATAACTTTTTCAGAAAAATACAGAATCACCACTTTTCCTAATTGACCCAAACCAGATATTGTGCAAAGGAGCAAGAAGGAGGGGTTTGTTGACCAGTGAATACCACTCATCTTTAAGTATTCTTGACAGGTGAGTCGAGCGTAAATTACAAATATTGACTTCAAGATTTAGACAAGCTTGGATTCAAATCCTACCCGTAACTTTCTTAACTGTTCACCCTTGGGCAAGCTACCGAATCTGAGTTTCTGTTTATTCATTTACAAAAAAGAGAAAAGTAATGTCAAGTGGTGAACACAGTGCTGGTACTCAGTAAGCACTCAAAGCGGGGCAGGGGGCACAGGTGATTAACAGTTATGAGTATTGGCATGAATGGGTGTGTCAGAGAGGAATCCAAGTGGCTTCTGGGAATCATAAAAGCATGAGTGACTGTGATGAGTTGTAGTCATTTCCCAGGGCTACCACCACAAAGTACTATGGACTGGGTGGTTTAGAACAGCAGAAGCCTATTGTTTCCCAGTTTAGAAGGCTAGACGTCTGAAATCAAGGTGTCAGCAGGACCGTGCTCCCTCTGAAACATGTAGGGAAGGATTCTTCCTTGCCTCTTCCAGCTCTGGTAGCCCCAGATGTCCCATGGCTCATGGCAGCATCACTCCAGTGCTATCTTCATTCTGTATCACATTCTCTCTCTCTCTTCACAAAGCCTCTCTTCTGTGCATGTCTGTATTTGTGTCCAAAGGGCACCAGTCACACTGGATTAGGGCTCACCCTGATAATCTCATCTTAACTTGATTACAACTGCAAATACCCTATTTCTGAATAAAGTCACATTCTGAAGTACTGGGAGTTAGGACTTCAACATATTTGGGGAGAGGAGATACAATTCAACCCATAGTCCAAGATACAGACTTCCTGGAATTAATTGTGATATGTCTGTCCATTGCCTCTGTATTTTAAGTGTTGCTGAGGTCTTCACAAATTGAGCAAACCTCTTGCAACCTATTTTGGAAAATGGTATTTTGATATTAGTTAGCTTTCAAAGTGAATACTTCCCAATCACAAAAGAGAAAAAGCTCTCTAGACCCCAGTATAGGCAGAGGCCTTCCTTTTAACCTTGCTGAGTGAAAAACAACCAGGAAGCATGTGCATCTCTGTTTACCCCGAGGAAAACAGTTTTGCAGTCAGAGATTGAACCATTCCATGTCTGTATGACTTTGTATCATGGGAAATATTTTTTCCACTTCCTCTCCCTTCCCTGTATAAATATTTAAATGTTGAACCTGACCTAAACACTCAGTATGATCCAGAGAAGTGTTATGAGTCAGTTTCTCCTCAATCAAAGATTTCTAGGATAGAAGGAGACCTTGTAAACCATTCCCTGCTTCCAGGAAATGAAGAGACTCCGTGATCCAGCCACCTCTGGGAGCCTAGGAAGGCTTGGGTGTCATGAGCCCACTTAGAGCAACATATAAATCTCCCCCCAAGATCTCCAGATATCACAGGACAAAAGGAGCATAGCAAAGATTAAAAAAACAAACAAACTGAGTATAAGAGAGGATAAGTCTCCAAGTTACAGCTGAAGGCATCTTAATAAGTCAGATAGGCTGCTGGTTCAATGTAATGAACCACTTACCTAAGTAACAGAAGATGCTAGAAACTGTTGAAGCATGTTTATTATCAGAGTAGAATCATTCAGTCCTTAAATTGAGTACTGTATTACTTTCCCAGGGCTGCCTTAACAAAGTACCACATACTGGGTGGTGGTAGTGGCACTTAAAATAATAATCAAGTTGTCCTTCAGTGAGTGAATGGAAAATGTCCTTCAGTGGGTGAATGTATAGACACACTGTGGTACATCCAGACAATAGAATATTATTCAGCACAAAAAAGAATGAGCTGTCAAGTCATGAAAAGACATGGTGGAAACTTAAGTGCCCTAAGTGAAAGAAGCCAATCTGAAAAGGCTGCATACTGTGTGATTCCAACTATATGACTTTCTAGAAAAGCAAAACTAGCGAGACAGTAAAAAGATCAGCGGCTGCCATGGACTGGGAGAGGGAGGGAGGAATGTGTCAAGGTGTCAGCAGGACCGTGCTCCCTCTGAAACATGTAGGGAAGGATTCTTCCTTGCCTCTTCCAGCTCTGGTAGCCCCAGATGCCCCTTGGGCTGGGGGAGGGAGGGAGGAAGGGATGAACAGGCAGAGCACAGAGGATTTCTAGGGCAGTGGAGTTACTCTGTGTGACACTGTGATGGCAGACACATGTCACATACATTTGGCCAAACCCATAGAATGTCCTTCACCAAGGGTGAGCCCTCATGTAAACTCCAGGTGATGTGTCAGCATAGGTGATGCAACAGATACATCACTCTGGTGGGGGTGTTGGTAACAGAGAAGGCACTGTGTGGGGTGCAAATCTCTGTACCTTACTCTCAGTTTTACTGTGAGCCCAAAACTGCTCTACCAAAACAAAATCTTATTTTAAAGTATATAATAAGCCGGGCTCGGTGGCTCAGACTGTAATCCCACGCCTTTGGAAGGCTGAGGTGAGTGGATTGCCTGAGCCCACGGGTTTGAGACCCGCCTGGGCAGTGAGACCTCATCTCTACAATAAATCAAAAAATCAGCCGGGTGTGGTAGTGCATGCCTGTAATTCCGGCTACTCGAAAGGCTGAGGCAGAAGGATCGCTGGAGCCCGGCGGGTCGAGGCTGCGGTAGCCGGGAGTGGCCACTGCACTCCAGTCTGGGCGACAGAGTGAGACTCCAACTCAGAAAAAAAAAAAGTCACTATCGTTTGGGTGGCTTCCATCTGCACCAAAGAAGCACTTCCTCTCTGCTACCATGCAGAGAAACTCACTGTCCCTGGCTTCCAACCTCTGGCATGGCCTTGCATCTCAGAGACAACGAAGCAGGCCTCTCTGCCTGACCCTGGCCACTCACAGGGGTCCCGTGCAATGAAGTGTGCTCCGAGGGCCGGGTGCGCGTTGCTGGGATTCGGTGTTGCTATTAGCTTGCTCTTGGCCATCTTAGTGTTGGCTTTGGCAAACTCTAGCCTCAGGGTCTGCGGGTTCTCGGGATCAAAGCGGATACCCTACATGGGAAGGAAAGGAAAATAAAGACTTACTCTGTGGGACCCCGACTGTCAACAGCAGTGAGTATGGAAGGGCCCCAGAAATAAGCTTGCTGAAAGACTTGCCCACATAGGGGCCGAGACAGATGCTGCTCAGGCCTTGGGTAACAGCATTTGGCACAGACTTTACAGCCAAGGACTCTGTCCTGAGACGGCTGGTAAATAAGGGACATCGGAACACCCACCACCTAAGGGGTCTTGGGTCAGAGAGAGACCTGTCCTCCACCTACTCACGTTCAGTGCATTCTTGGCTGCTTCCGCTCCTGCCCGGCTGTCAAAGATCACAAAACCAACAGGCTAGTAGGAAAAAGAGAGAACACCCTTGCATCTCTCCCAGCATTCCACCTTTCCCCCCAAAACGAAAAAGGGAGCATTGCCTACATGGAAACAGTGTTTGTCCTGCTGATGAGAACAGCAGAGGAAGAAAATCCCAGAAAACACAAGCCTATATTCTCCCTGTGTTCAAGGAAACAGCAGGTTAATGTGCACCCAAGTCTGAATCTCCCTCCCCGAGAACACATTGTAGGAAATGATGTCCACAGAGCTTTATTCCATGGAATTAAACATCACCCTTTCAGTAGAAGTTTGTTTTTTTTTTTAAGTCATAGTCTCACTCTGTTGCCCAGGCTGGAGTGCAGTGGCATGCTCACGGCCACCGCAGCCTCGACCTGCTGGACTCAGGTGATCCTTCCGCCTCAGTCTTCCAAGTAGCTGGAACCACAGGCATGCGCCATCATGCCCAGCTAATTTTTTTGATTTATTACAGAGATAAGGTCTCGCCTAATTGCCTAGGCTGGTCTTGAACCTGTAGGCTCAGGCAATCCTCTCGTCTCTTCCTCCCAAACTGCTGGGATTACAGGTGTGAGTCATTGCTCCCGGCTAGTAGAAGTCTTTTTTAAGTGCATGCAGGTATTTAAGAGTAAGTTCCAGAGTTTTCCTCAGCAAGGAAGGGCACAGGAAGGCTCCAGGCTCAATCAAAGAGCAACAGGTGAAAACGTCCCCATCTTCATTTTGCCAAGGGTCTGTCTAGATCCCAAATGGCCCCTGGCCCCCTCAATCAGGAGTCAAAGCTCAGCTACCAGCTCTATGGCCCTCAGCCACAGGGGCCAGGTAGTGCTCCCAGATGCCAGAGCCAGACAAGGCGGACTGGAGCTGACTGGGCTCAGACGGTTGGTGAAGAGGAGGCGGGGCCTGTGGAGGCCGCCTGTTCCTCGGTCCAGGACAGGAACGGGACAGCAGGGAGTCAGTCTCTGCTGCCACATGCCTCAAGATTAGGGAAAGGTTAACAGGCTTCTGTTCCAAGCTCAGCAGTCAGTCTGAGCAGGAGGAAGAAAATCTCAGAGGAATTACCTGTCTTGCAGTGAGTTTGATCAGGGACCCTTCGTACCCCTGCGGAGAGAGGTGGCCATTACCGGGGAAGGTCTGAAGCCCCACCTCTTCCCAGGGCTGCCCCAGCCACCCTCACACCCTTCTCCCAACCCACCCCGACCCCCACCACTGCTGGGTTTCTGCCACCCTTGTTCTGAGTCACACGGGATGGCCATCACATGGCAGCGCACGTTTCATGCAAAAATTCTCGTGCACGCCACTAACTTGTAATCTGGGAGAACAAACCTTACCTTCTAAGTTTTCTCATCTGTAAACTGCAAAGGCTACACTGAATCTCAAAGATGCCTACATGGCCAAGTCTACTGAAAGATTCTTCACTGTCTCCAATGAACAGATGAGAAAACAGAGGCTCAGAAGGGTTAAGCTAATGACGGGAGGCAGCCTGCAAATTAGCAGTCAGGACAGAGCCCGGTCTGAGGTCAGTTTTTGTTTTGGAGTCTCTCTCTGGTGCCCTGGCTGGAGTGCAAGGGCACACACACAGCTGCCACAGCCTCGACCTGCTGGGCTCAGGCAATCCTTCCACCTCAGCCTTCCAAGTAGCTGGAACCACAGGCGTGCTCCACCACACCCGGCTAATTTTATGATTTATTGTGGAGACGAGGTCTCGCCAAGTAGCCCAGGCTGGCAAGATCGGCTTCTGGTACCACCTTCCTGCAGCCTCTGGCTGCCCAGTCCAGTTCAAAGACTCATTCCTGTTGCTCCTCCCTGGTCCTGAGCTCTACCCTGTGGGTGGCTGGGTCCTGACTCACCTTGAAAGGCCGGAAGAGCAGGTAAAGTTCTCTGGGTTTAATGTCCACAGGGAGGCCGCTGACGAACAGTGTCCGGACCTGCAGACAGAGAACACAGTGGTCAGGGCCAGGCTGGAAAGGAAAGACGGGGACGACGGCTCTTTCTTCAGGCAGGTAACTGGACTGACTCCCTCTGGAGCCCAGGGAGGAATGCAGTATTTCCTGGGCCTCCTCTGGACACTGAGGCAGATTAACACCCCGTGTCAAAGCCCTGAGCTTTTCAAAGCCCTTTCTATGCTCCTGCCCTTCTCTAGGTTCACGCTGGGGGCGTCACTCCCGCAAGCATCTGACTGGGGCCTCTTCACATGCACATCCCAGACTGCTGGCAAACAGAGCAAGAGCCCTCTTGATATGTGCTGGTAAGTAAGCTTGTTCAGATCAACGGCCCCTCTGCAAATCAGAAGAAACCTGCAGTGCCCAACTCCCCTAAAAGTGCACACTAAAAATGTATATGTTTTTTCAGACAATACCCACAGACTCCTGGTTGAGAGGCTCTGTCAGGTCAAAGGGAGGGGCAAAGATGAGGGCGGAACATTGAGCTCCATGCCACACGATGCCCTGCAGCACCTTCAACAGAGGGCCCAGGCTTTTCTCACCCATCTACCACTCCTTCTAGAGGTAGGCTCTTTCATGGCAAGGAACATGCTAGATCCTTGCCTCTGTGGCCTTCTCCCAGCATGGTGATGGTACTATGCATTGACTGAATAGGGAAATGGGTGAAGAATCATAAGTGGAACAACTATGCTGGGTTTTGAAGACCAAGTAAGAGCTTGCCAGCTAAAGTCAGGTGTGGTGGCTCATGCCTGTCATCCCAGCACTTTGGGAGGCGGAGGTGAGAGGACTGCCTGAGTCCAGGGGTTCAAGACCAGCCTGGGCAACTTGGCGAGACCTCCTCTCTACAATAAATCAAAAAATTAGCCAGGTGTGGAGGTGTGCATTGTAGTTCCAGCTACTTGGAAGGCTGAGGTGGAAGGATCGCCTGAGCCAAGCAGGTTGGGGCTGCGGTGGCCGTTAGCAGGCCACTGCACTCCAGCCTGGGTGACAGAGTGAGACTGTGAATCAAAAAAAAAAAAAAAGCAAAAGTTCACATACTGTATTGCATCCTGGAGGCCACACTTGAAAGCATTTAGCTAGCTGGGCGCAGTGAGCTCACGCCTGTAATCCCAGCACTTTGGGAGGTGGAGATGAGAGGACTGCCGAAGCCCAGGGTTCAAGAACAGCCCGGGCAACTTGGTGAGACCTCATTTCTACAATTTTTTTTTTTCATTTCTACAATTTTTAAAAAAATAGCCGGCTAAGCCGGGCTCGGTGGCTCAGCCTGTAATCCCGCGCCTTTGGGAGGCTGAGGTGAG